TGCTCCCTGTGGGCTCACAGGGGGCCTGCCGGGACACAGAGGACCTGGAGGAGATGACGACATGCAGGGAAGTCAGCGTGAGAAACGGGTTTACTCGCCAAGATGCAGACCGGCTTTGCCAGCCACAGGGGCTGTCACCTGCGTGGGCTGCAGCCCTGTCCTGTCTCCGCCGCTGCAGAGCCAGGCAATTCAGGAACAGTCTGATGTGCTGGGGACGCGACAGAGTAACACAGACCAACTGTAGGGTGAGTCACGATTCGCCACTGAATCTCGAGGCCCTGATCTAGTGGGCTGTGCTCCCTCACAGTTTTCAAACTGCTCCTGTTGCAGCTCAGAGGCGTGCGACACGAGGACCTCGCCACAGAGACAGACGCCATCCTGGCTGCACCACGGAGACAGACCTGTCTTGTTGGAGACAACCCCCGATTGCCATGTCCCCCCGCACTCAGCCAGACCACTGCCTGATTCTCAAGCGAGACGTCCCACGTCCCTTGTCTCATGGGAGCGTGGGTGCCAGTGTGCAGTGTGTTCCCACACAAGGCCTGCTGCAGGGCTGTGCATGTTCTGGGGACAGCGGGCCAAAGTCTCCCCCAAAAGGAAGACATTCAGAGAAGACCCTGACTTCAAAGGTCACCAGCTAAATCAGAGGCAGGGCAAGTTCTGGCTTTCTGTTGGGCGTCTTCTCTGAATGCGGGAACCATCACCTGTGGACCACCCCAGGACATCCAAGAACAGAATGTCTCCGCATCACACTGGAGTTTCCCTAAAAGCAGCAACGAGGAAGGAGCGGAGGGCCGGCAGTGGTCAGCCCAGCACCCACTGTTCTGCGCCTCCCACCTTCACGCGCCCTAGGGACCGGGCGTCTGCACGCCCCTTCAACACTGGGGACGGTGCCCTAGTGATGGGGCGTCTGTGAGCCCCTTCAATGGTGGGGATGGTGCTCTAGTGACACGGGATCTGTGCCCCTTCAACGGCAGGGACGGTGCCCCAGTGATAGGGTGTCCACGCACCCCTTCAACGTGGGGGACAATGCCCTCGTGACACGGCGTCTGCGTGCCCTTTCGACGCTCAGCACCCTTTCCCTCGTTCACGAAATGCTCCCACGTTCTCCCAGTTCAGTCCTTCAGTTGCTCTCTTTGTTTTTGAAGGTCTGGGGCCCAGGACCCATCACCAGAGATCGCATCCTTTGTTCCCAGCAAATCACGCCAGCAAACTCACTGGGGTCTGCAGGTCAGGCACAGGTTTAAGACGACACCCCCCCACTCTTCCTGAGTGGCTGGTCTGCAGGTCACAGGGGAAGGGACGTGGGGATGGCGACCCGCACACAGGCCTGTAAGTCCACCCTCCACGCTGCACTCCTTGGGGTATACTGTGGCCCTTGTTATAGGAACAGATGGTCTCATTGTGGCTGAACAAAGGGGATGGCTGGCTGAGAACCACAGGAGGAAAAGGACTCAACTGTGGGGGTGGATGACAGAAGTCATCTGACAGCTCCTGGGGGGGGGCATCTGGAGGCAGGAATGAGGTCCAGGTGGCAGAGCTTGTCTTTTCTTTATTCCTGCACACCCTGTGTCACTGTCACCAAGTGGACAAGGACGGACAGAGGGACACGGTGTTCTTTATTCCCTCACACCCTGTGTCACTGTCACCAAGCAGACAAGGACGGACAGAGGGACATGGTGTTCTTCATTTCTGCACCCTCTGCGTTGACTGTCTTTCTGTGTTGTTACCAAGGTCATGCTGGAACAGTGTGGAGGATCATGGCAATTATCCTTCCAAGTCCCTTTTTTTCCAGAGAACATTCTTTTAAAGCAACAGTGGAATTCAAAATTTGATCTCCGAGGGCGGGAACTGGAAAGAGCCTTTTTATCTGAGTTATCTGAGGAGGTATTCTCAGGGCAGGCTTCTGCTCCACCTTGTTAACAAGTGGGAACCCTGAACCTCAGGTCCATGATTACATTGGACCCAGAGCCTCCCCACTCGACGCTGTTACCAGCCCCCATGTGGTTCTGCGTTGAGGTGGGGTCCCATAGTGAGGACCTGCCAGCCAGTGCCATGCCCACACTCCCTGGTCTCCACTCAGGATACAGAGAGCCCACTGCTCATGTGTTGGCACAGGGTGAACCAGCTCTCAAGAAACAAGACGGGCCATGACTTTGAAAGACAGGGTTCCTGGAGAAGGAGGTACCCCTTTTCTCATTTTCTGACGTCTCTTACAAACGGCAGGCACTTCACAGCCATGTGATATTGGCCTTGCCACCTATGTTTTGAGTAACATCTCTTTACACTGTGAAGGTGCACTGGTGGCGTAATGGTTAGGCACCTGGCTGCTCACTGCAAGGTCAGCAGTTTGAAGCCCCTCAGGAGCTCTGTAGGAGAAAGAACCGATGATCTGCCCCCATAAAGTCTGCAGTCTAGAAAAACCAGTGGTGCACGAGGGGTCGCTACGAGTCAGAATCAACTCAGTGACAACCCAAACCCACAACACCGTCATGAGGCAGACTGCAGCGTTTAGCTTGGTAAAGGGGAGGGTCAGCCAAACACAGGAAGCCCCTCAGCGAGGCAGAGGGACACAGTGGCTCAGACACAGCAAGGGTTGTGAGGACACACAGGGCTGGGCAGTGCTTCATTCTGTTGTAACAGGGTCATTGTGAGTTGGAACGCCACAGCATCTAACAACAGTAGCTTCCGTAAGTACCACAGGACCCACGTGAACCGTGTTAATCAGCCATCTCATGGGACCTAAATTACTGAATGCCAGAATTTCACCTGGTTCAGTGTCACGTTTGTACACACACCAGTGTAAACCCATGTTCCCCACAACACGACATATGGAAGAGAAAAGGAGAAGCCAGAATACAGTCTACACTGTGTGCACGCCAGAAGATCAGCGTTGCGAGCAGTCCCACAGCCGGGGTCTGGGAGGGATTATCCAGGAAACGAGCAAGCCACTGATCCACGGGTCATTCAGCGGGTGTCGAGTGCATGACACAAAGGCTCCTGATGAACAGGAGAGACCTGGTGAACAGTGCATGCAAACAGCACCTCCAAAGAGCTGTGTTTCCGTCCTCAAGTACCTAAGGAACTTGACTGCTCACCAAAAGGTTGGCGGTTCAAACCTACCAGCCGCTCCATGGAAGGAAGATGGGGCAATCTACTTCCGTAAAGTTGACCACCTTGGAAACCCAATGGGGGTTGCTATGGGTCAGAACAGACTCGATGGCAGTGAGTTTGTTTTTTATTTGAGTGGCACTAACGGGAACACCAGCAGTGTATGGCCTAACAGATCGATTCTCTTACAGTTTAGGGAGCCAGATGTTCGAGTTCAAAGTGCCAGCTCTAGGAGTGGGGTGAAAGCCCCTTGACCTTGGGTTCAGCTGTCTCTTGCTTCTGGACCACTGAAGCTGGAGGCGTCTCTTTAGTCAGGAGGCTGCTGCCTGCTGAGGCTTACAAACCCAAGGCTGACAAATAAAATGGTACAGTCCCAAGATTATCAAACCACATGGCAGGCCACTAGTTCAAGTTCAACATCAGCAGACAACATGACAGGCTGCTGAACAACGACTCAGCTACATGCAGGATTCAAGCATGTCAAAAGCTAGAGCCCTTCCTCAAAACTGCTTCTTATAAATTGGAAGCAGACCACATCCCTAAGGCTACTCAGCTGCTCTGGGAGACCCCGCCATGGAGCTGACTGCCAGTCTCATCATGGGGAATAACTCCATCCAGCGGCCCAGGCACTCCACCAGGCCCAGCCAAGTTGACACACAACCTTACTGACCACAAGCCAGGACTCTGCTCTGGGACTTCTGGGGCTGGGGCTTCCTGGTTTATTTCAGGGCTTGTGACCTGGAAGCCGTGTTGTCAGAGTCTGTGTGTTTCTATCTCAATTACCCAAGGCCGAGGAGAGTCAGCCCTGGAATAGGGCACCTGTCACTGTCCTCGTCACTGGAGGCGTTTGCCGACGCCCTGTGCATGGATGTAGCACAGCCCTGGAATAGGGCACCTGTCACTGTCCTCGTCACTGGAGGCGTTTGCTGACGCCCTGTGCATGGATGTAGCACTAAACGAGCAGCCACTGGTTCTCATTTCCTGAGAGGGTTCACTTGCTGGGATCTGAAAGGATGGAAAGATTCCACTGCACACGGACTGCTCAGGCAACAAGACTTCTTGAGCAGGTAGGAAACGTGGTCCAGGGGCTTTCATCGTCCTCATTTTACACATGGGGAAACTGAGGCTCAGGGAGGTAGAGGGGCTGCCCAGGCCAGGTGGAGATTGAGAGAGAAGGCTGGGTGCACGCCCACCTCCCTGACCCCTAGGAGCCACTAAGGACAGCCCCACAAGCCCACTTCCCCGACCCCTGGGAGCCAGTAACAACAGCCCTGAGGATGCGCTGTCTTGTCTTCTCTGTTTTGGAAACATGGCAGGTGCATTCATGTTGCCAGAGATACTGTGGTTCTTGTTCAGTCCCCCAATTTACCTTGATGATAAGCCAAAGGTGAGGCAGGCTGTTAGGGAAACTCGTGTGTGTGTGTGTGTGTGTGTGAGCGAGTGTGTGCAACAGTGTGAGTGTGTAAGTATGAGGATCTGACTACGAGAGAACATGGAAGTGTGTGGGAGTGCATGTGTACGTGGTGTGTGTGACTGGGTTGTGTGTGTGAGAAAGAGTGTAAGCATGTAAGTCTGTGAGCGTGTTAAGAGTGCACATGTGTGAAAGCATGTCTATAGGGTGTATGTGTGAGCTGTGAGACTGAGCATGTGTGCTACAGTGCATCTACATGGAGTATGTGTGAGCGCTGTGTGTGTGTGTAGAAGTGCCAACAGTGTGAGTGTGCAGGTATATGCAAGTGTGTGAGAGTGAGTGTGAGAGCACATGTGTATGGGGTTTGTGTGTGAGTTGTGTATGAGTGTGTGAGAATGTGTAAAAAGTGTGAATGTGCAAGAATATGTGTGTGTGAGAATACATGTATATGAGGCATGAGCTGTGTGTGCAAGTGTGTAATAGTGTGAATGTGCAAGCATACGAGTCTAAGAGCATGTGAGTGTGAGTACATGCGTATGAGGTATATATGTGAGCTGTGTGAGAAAGTGTGAAATTGAGTGTACAAGTGTGCAAGAGTATGAGTGTCAGAATACATGTGTATGTGATGTGGGAATTTGTGAGCTGCGTGTGTGAGAAAGACCGTGTGCAAGTGTGAGTATGTATATGTGAGAATGTGTGGGGTATGAGTTGTCTGCATGAGTTTTTTTGTGTGTGAATGTGAATGTTCGAGTAGAGTGTGGCTGTGTACAAGAATATAGGCCTGTGTGTGGGAGTGCATGTGCACTGTGTTGTATGCATGGGATTTGCGTACGTATGAGTTGTGTGTGAGTCTATGCAGAGAGGTGTATACGCGTGTGTACATGTGACTGTGAGTGCATGTGTATGATGTGCATTTCTGTGAGTGCGTGTGTGTGTGTGCATGTGACTTTGTGTGAGTACATGTGTGTGTATGCAGTGCACGTACATGAGGGATGCGTATGTGTATATATGTGGTGCATGTGTGATGTGTATGTGTGCTGTTTGCATGTGGTGTCTGTGTGTGTATGCAGCATGTTTGTGGTGTATGTGTGAGTGTGTGTATGTTTACAATGGTTGCAAGGTGCAGGCAGCTTTCACTGTGCACAGCTCGGTGGTCAACGAATTCACGCTGCAGAGAGTAGCTGCCTGCAAGTCTCAAGAGGAAGCCTGGCCGCGGTTTGAGGGTGTGTGTATGGGCGTGGCCTTGGAGGTCTGGGCGTGGCCTGTGTGTTCCGGAAGAGCAACTTGGATGGGGGGCCTGGGCGTGGCCGCAGAGGCCTGGGCGTGGCTTGTGTTACCAAGCGCCTCCAGACACTCAGGCGCTGCCACCTGGAGGTAGGGCCATGGCAGGGGTGCACGACTCACCTTCCCGTAGGATCCTTGTCCTAGAACTTTGAGCAGCTCGAACTGCGAAGGGTCCGCCTTCTCAAATCCTTCCTTCACATGATAGCTGATGTTGATCTCCTTCACGATGCCTTCTTCCTACGAGACAGGGAACGTGTGAGGAAGCAGGTCGGGAGGCCCTGGGACGTCCCCAGCTCTCCCTTAAAGTTCCCATGAGCTGGGGACATTTTAGATTAAAAGCTGTGACTCGATGTGCCTGTACGTAAGCCTGTTGGTTACTGCGCCAGTTACTTCTCTGTGGGCCATGTGGGCCTTCAACTGTTTCTTTTCTCATTTTGTCATCTGGTCTCAGCAGCACCACAGGATATCGCCACCAAAAACCCCAAACCACACCCACTGCCTTGGAATCCATTCTGACCCACAGGGTCTCCAAGGCTGTCAATCTTCACAGAAGCAAAGCCCAAACCACACCCACTGCCTGGAGTCCATTCCGACCCACAGCGCCCCTAGAGGACAGAGTGGAACTGCCCACAGGGTCCCCAAGGCTGTCAATCTTCACAGAAGCAAAGCCCAAACCACACCCACTGCCTGGAGTCCATTCTGACCCACAGCGCCCCTAGAGGACAGAGTGGAACTGCCCACAGGGTCTCCAAGGCTGTCAATCTTCACAGAAGCAAAGCCCAAACCACACCCACTGCCTGGAGTCCATTCCGACCCACAGCGCCCCTAGAGGACAGAGTGGAACTGCCCACAGGGTCCCCAAGGCTGTCATCTTTATGGGAGCCGACTGCCAGGTCTTTCTTCATTGGAGCATCTGGTGGAGTCACACCACCAGCCTTTCGGTCAGCAGCCAAGCACTTAACCACTGTGCGGCCAGGGCTCCTTTGGCAACATGTAAAGGGCAGATAAGAGAGCAGAGGAGACAATGGGATTCATCCGTGAGTTCTCAGTCCCCAGCCCCGGTCAGAGAGGCGTGTGGTTGGCGGCTGGATCGTGCTGTCATGGTTTGGTGCTGGTTCTGGTTCTGGCTCTGCCCTTGAGTTCTTCAGTAAGCCTCCCAGCCTGTACAAAAAAAGCCTCCATAGAGCTGAGGGTCTGGGATGCATGTGTCTGGTTATTTTACTGTATGTCGTGGTACACCGAGAATTCCCGTCCCCAGGGCCTCTGGGATGCGTGTGTGTGC